GTGTAACCATTAATCGTTTCATTAATTGTGCTTCACTTTTAGTCATCATCAGCCCCTTTTTTTGTGCCGGATCAGAGCCTGACGCTGGCGACCATGTTTAATTCCATGGTTGTACAAGGGAGTGTACGAAGGTGATTTTCCGTTGCCTTCCTTCGGGTGAGTTCATCATCTCTCTTACCATCGGCCCATAAGTCAGTCTCGTGTGCCCGATTCTGATCATCCAACTGCCAAGGTCATCTCTATTCTCTCGCTGTTCGTTTCTAGAGGTATGACTCGATTGCTCCCTCTGTTAATTACGAAGACAATTTCTGATTCTGGGTTTCTAGTCGGTGTGTGGGGGGAGAGGAAAACGAGCATCACAGTGACGAGCGGCAACTGACTTGGCCTTCCGATCAGCTTGCTTGTCAGAATACCTCACTAGGTCTTGGGCAATGGCAGTTTCCTTGCACTGATTAAGTATTTTGTGAGGAGAACATGAAACTTGAGCTCCGGGGATATCGCATATCGTACACAGATGGCCACTCTCATCTAGAGACTAAACCTCGACTATCAAGCTACCATCTTGCTGTGGGGTGATCCGAGGAAGACACTAACAAACCTCGACTTTCTTCCAGTGCACTTCAGAAATAATATGACTATTGATGGACACTCCATCAATGGTCATCACTACAAGGTATTTATTATACGAGATCGTTTCATATTCACCAGGTAATATTTCCATGGCGGACTGAGGAGTACTTTTCTCCTTGCAAGGTCTGGAAGCCCAGGAAACACTCTGATTCCCACTCATGCCCTTCTGGAGCCCACAAAGGTTCCAAAATGACAACAGTTGATATTCGAGAGGGATTAGCCAGGATGACGCATATCCTCAGAGAGCGAGCCATTTCTTATTAAATTTATAGAGAGCTTACAAATAAGAATTCTCCCTGGTCCAAGATGGAACGAACGAAGGGGGGGGGGGGGGCACACACCATCCCCTGAGAGCCGTTTTTTCTCCCCCCCCCTCATAAGTGGCCCTCCAGCATGCGTACCCCGTTAGTCCGGCTCACCCGCTCATTGGGACCTCGTTACGGGGATGCCTTGAAGGAAAATTAAAAAATAGTAAGAGATTTAGGGAATGAATGAATAAGGGAATAACAAGAGGAGAATAAGAACAATAACAGTATATGAGAACAATTGGGGATAAAGGGAATAATAAGAGCATAGAAATAATAAAGAAAAAGGATAATACGAGACTCAGAGTAATATAATAAAAACAAGCGAATAAGAATGATGAAAGAGTAAAAATAAGAGAATAATGATAATAAGAGAACTAATATATAAATATATATATATATATATATATATATATATATATATATATATATATATATATATACACATATATATGTATAAACTATGTATGTATATATATATGTGTGTATGAATATATGTATGTATATATATTGTGTGTCTGTGTGTATATATGTATATATATATATATATATATATATATATATATATATATATATATATATATATATATATATATATATATATATATATATATATATATATATATATATATATATATATATATATATATATATATTATACATATGCATACATATACATATATAATATATATGCATATATGGTATGTGTGTGTGTCTGTGTGTGTTTGTGTGTGTATATGTGTGTGGATATGTGTATTATATATATATATATATATATATATATATATATATATATATATATATATATATATATATACACACACACACACACATAGGAAATGCTTGTGAAATATAAGCACGATATCACATGCATATGTTTAACTTCGAAATTGAAGCAGACAAACAGACTTAATAGGAAAAGTTAACTCAATTAACCAAGATAAAAAATTGCATCACTGATATTCGTAAAGTCTCTTGTATGAAGAAAGATAAATAAAAGAACAACTGCACTAGCTTGCCAAGAGTAATGAAAGTCACAAATAATTTAACTGCAACGTTAATAATTGCGAAGACAAGTTGGTATCTTGTGTTATGTAACTAGTTTTCACATTCAGAGCCAGTCTCATTAGCATAAGACGAGACGAGAAAAAAATATAGAAAAGAAATGAGGAAAGAAAGAAAGAAACTTATCATGATAATATATTCTTTATGAATTATTTTCTTTATCTACAAAAAAAAAAATTTCACATTGAATTTTTTGTTATCATTAGTAAAGTTGTTGTTCTTGATATATTATTGTTATAAAGAACTGCCAACTCTATCGAGATATCTATATACTTTTTTTTTTAGAAGTCATATAATATAGCAAACTTCTGAGTAAGAACCAGAGACTAAATTCGAACAAGCATCTGAAATATCTGTTAATAATTAGGCTCCTTGATTAGTTTTGTTAATGAAAGGGAGGAGGAAGTCGCGGGAGTAGACACTGTTTGTCTTCGCGCCCCTTCATCAGACGGGCGGCTGGCGACTCCCCTCCCACGTAGATCAGTGAAACCTGTTGATGT